AGAAGGGAATCTTTACAAAAGTTACATTTAAGCCTGGTCCACATTCTTACAACCTAGCTTTTGCAGTGGCCCCTACTGCCACCCTTCTCCTGCCTACTATTCTTCCAGAGGTCAGAACCATGACACTGACTTCAACCTTGAAGGTGGGATCTTGATACCCACCAGTAAGACACCTGCACATCTGGATGCCACCTGCCTGGTTTCTGAGTATTTCTTCTGGCTTAGCTATTGCCAGCAGTGGGCTATTCCACTCCATTAGTGTAAACCCCATCTCCTTGCCAACTGTGTTCCTGGCTTTTGACAACAGAGATGATTTGACTGAATCCTAATGGTCAGCTCCTGGCTCTTATTTCATGCAGTAGCTGGAGGAGCCAGATCCTTGGTTCACCTTCAGACCTCCCTCACCTTCTCCCTTTCCACTGTAAGCAATCTGTCACACTCTGCCAGTTCTCGAGACAGCTGTATTTTGAGCCAAGTACAAGCTTCACAAATGTGGCCAACAATGTGCTTCTCTGAGTGAGGACCAGGCTGGGCACAGACCAGTGCAGTTACTTTAAATGACTACCTTACTAGCAATCTTTGACTGAATTTACCCATCCCTAACTCAATTTTCAACACTGAACAACAAACAAACCAAGAACAGCCCATTTCCTTGGGAACAGAATATGTTAAGAATCTGAAACAGGGCTGGTGCCACAGCTCAATAGGCTAATCCTCCGCCTGCGGCGCCGGCACACCGGGTTCTAGTCCCGGTTGGGGTGCCGGATTCTGTCCCGGTTGCCCCTCTTCCAGGCCAGCTCTCTGCTGTGGCCTGGGAGTGCAGTGGAGGATGGCCCAAGTGCTTGGGCCCTGCACCCCATGGGAGACCAGAAGCACCTGGCTCCTGCCTTCGGATCAGCGCGGTGCGCCGGCCGCAGCGTGCCGGCCGCGGCAGCCATTGGAGGGTGAACCAACGGCAAAGGAAGACCTTTCTCTCTGTCTCTCTCTCTCTCTCTCTCTCTCACTGTCCACTCTGCCTGTCAAAAAATTTAAAAAAAAAAAAAAAAAAAAACATTGATAAGAGCCTGCTGAAGGGCTATAGAAGACAACAGAAGCCAACAACTACCTATAAACATGCAGTGATGGGAAGGAAATGGAGTCAAATGAAATGAAAGAAAAATTGATTCCTAAATGTAAAATGAAAAACCCAGGTCCCCAGGGTTTTGAGAATTTTGAGAAACCTGAGGTGGAAAATGGTTGGACCCTTGGAGCTGGCACTGTGGCCTAGCAGGTTAAGTGACCACCTGTGATACCAGCATCCCATATGAATGCCAGTTAGAGTCCCAGCTGCTCTGCTTCCAATCCAACTCCCTGCTAGTGGGCCTGGCAAAGCAGCAAAAGATGGCCCAAGTGCTTGGGCCCCTGCTGTCCATGTGGGAGACCTGGATGGAGTTCCAGGATACTGGCTTTGGCCTGGCCCAGCTCCTACAACTGAGGCCACTTGGGAAGTGACTCAGTGGATGGAAGATCTCTCTCTCTCTCTCTCTCTCTAACTCTGCTTTCCAAATAAACAAATAAATCTTAATAAAATAAAATAAGGAAACGGTTGAATCCAAGTAAATCAGGCTGGACTATCAGAACAGTGCCCAGTCTCAGAGTTTAGGGCTGTCTGCCTCAAGTCCATTGCTTGGTGATGACCAGATTACCAGCAACAACCTCTCCTAATTTGCTTTTATAAATAATCCCTCACAAAAGGTAGCATTTCAGGGACATCAGAGAGCCAGGGTTCTCCTCCTCCCTCCTCATGTTCCCCTTACCCCCCACAATCTCCCTTCTACCTGCCCCCTGACTTCTGATATTTCACTGCTCCTTTAGGTTAAGGCTACACTTGAGGCTACAGTTGGTTATTTGTATTTTAGTCTAATTTTCAAATTGTTTCGAGAGATTTTGAGAGCAGACTCAAGAAGGCCCTGACCATCTAAGAGACAGGGAAGAGGCCCAAGCAAGAGGAAGAAGGAAAGAGAGCTGGACCCAGACAGGGCACAGAGTGATTCACCTGGCCATGGAGTACGTATTATGTACATTTTCTATCTCAGCAGAGAGGGTACAGTTCATACCACTGAACAATAGTTTACAACTGACTGTGACAAGTGGCTACAGTTCTGCTGGGTCCCCATCAGTCACACATTTTAACTTTTCCTCTGGGGAGCAGAGGAGACCTGACCACCTCCTCTTTTAATACTGACCACACCAGGGGGCTAAGTGTGGGCTTCACCTAACTCAGTGCTGTGCATGACTCTCCTTTTACATGGAACTTGCCCAAGTTATCCAAACCAGCCTTAAGCTACATACAGAGGTTAGAGGGAACAGAGACTTTTTAATGTTATGATGAACTTTAGCCCTAAATCCATACGGGCTTATCTCAATGAAATAACAACATTAAGGGTTAGCATTTGCTCTTTCATTAGTCATATAAGTATTTACTGAGTACCTGCTGTCCTGGAATTCATATACCAGTCAAAGGAGATAAACAATTAATTAGGGACAGATGTTTGGTGCAGCAGTCAAGGCACTATTTGGGACACCAAATCGGAGTGCCTAGGTTTGAGGCTCGGCTCCACTTCCAATTCCAATTTACTGCTAATGTGCACCCTGGGAGGCACAGTACTGATGGCTTCAGTACTGGAGTCCCTGCCACCCATGTGGGAGACTGGGACTGAGTTTTGGACTCCCAGCTTCAACCTGGCCAAGCCATGGCTCTTGTAGCCATTTGGGAACCAAATCAATGAATGGAAAATCTCTTTCTTTCTGTCTCTGTCTCTGTCTCCGTCTGTGTGTGTGTTTCTTCTCTCTGCCCTTCAAATAAATAAAAGTTTAATAAAGAATTAACAAACAAATGCAAAGGGTATCAATGGCACTAAGTGCTATGGAGAAAAAGGAAACTGGGCAGGAGTGTCAGCGAGAGGTGGGGTAGCTGTTACCCAAACACAGGAGGCAAAGGTAGGCCTCCCTGGGAAATGAGCATACAAGGCAGAAGCAGGTATCTGCTGTGGCAGAGGCACAGCTGGGAGGCTGGAGCCCAGTGAGGGAGTGGAAAATGGTGGGAGATAAGGTCAGAAAGGCAGCAGGTGCACAGCCCAGAGAACATGCGTACTTTAAGAAGGACTCTGACATTTGCTCTGAGTCAGATGAGAAGCCCTATCTGATTTATATTTGAAAGTATCCTTCTGGTTGCTATGCTGATAAGAGCTTTTTGGGGGATAAGAACAGATGCAGAAAAGCTAGTGAGGAGGCTGTAATACTAATGCATAAAAGGGATGACAGTGGCTTGGATCAGGATGGTAGAAGTGGAATTGGAATCGGCCAAGATAGTTTAAACTCTACATTTATTCTAATGGTAGAGTTGGAACAATTTGCAGATGAGCTGGACGTGAACCTTAAGAGAAAAAAGAAGTGAGGATGACTCCCAGATTTTTGCTAAGCGAACAGAAGAAGGCAAATGCTTTTTTGAGCCAAGAAAGCCTCAAAACACAGGTACATATTGGCAGGGGAGGGCTTGGGAGGAGATGGAAGAATTACAAATTTGGTTTAGGATATGCCAGGTTTAAGAAGTCCAACACATATCAAGTGATGATGTCAAGTACACAGATGGTCTAAATGTCAGGCTACAGGTCCAAGCTGGAGATAGAAATTTGGAACTGAGCAAGGTACTAAGGGCATTTAAGGTCCCCATATTGGATAAGATCGCTCAGGGAGTGATGACAAGAGAAGCAATTTGAGAACTCAGTTCTGAAGTTCTCCAACATTAAAGGCTGAAGAGATAAGGAGGATCCAGCAACAGAGAGTGAGAACAAGAAAAGTGAGAATCATGAGAGGCTACCTCCCAGAAGCCCAGAGAAGAAAAGATTCAGAAAGAAGAAGGTCGGGGCCTGCACTGTGGCACAGTGGGTAAAGACACAGCCTGCAGTGCCAGGATCCCATATGGGTGCCAGTTCAAGTCCCGGCTGCTCCACTTCTGATCCAGCTCTCTGCTATGGCCTGGGAAAGCAGTAGAAGATGGCCCAAGTCCTTGGACGCCTGCACCCACGTGGGAGACCCAGAAGAAGCTCCTGGATCCTGGCTTCAGATTGGCACAGCTCTGGGTGTTGCAGCCATCTAGGGAGTGAACCAGCAGATGGAAGACCTCTCTCTCTCTACCTCTCTCTGTGACTCTGTCTTTCAAATAAATTAAAAAAAATCTTAAAAAAAAAAAAAAAAAACAATGCCAACAACAATATTGACTGAGCACCATGCAAACACTGTGATGAGTAATTCACTTTGCCCCTGAGTAAAACCTAATTCCTGCATCGCTGTTGTGTAGATGATTCTGGAGCTTAGAAGGGAAGTGGCAGGCCCTAAACCATAAAGCCAGGAGCAGCAGAGCTGAACATTAACCCAGCTTTGTGGACCTTAAGATTGGGCAATGAAGGGATGAAAGATGGGCTTTACAAACAGAGGTGGTCACTGCCTCCTGCAGGAAATTACCATGAGGCCTCAGGAACAGACTTTTTGGCAATTCAATCATAAAAACTTACGCAGATGTTGTTACTTAAACCTAGAGTGTACTTCACAAAAGGAATACTGAATATTGTTGTCAGCCGTAACCCATAACAGGCCTACACTGCTATTTTCTGTAGTTTAGAAAGAACAAAATACAAGAAACAATTCTGCCATCTCCTTGTTGTGGGCGGTATCTCCTGCCTCTGAATGCATTTGGATGGAGATCAGAAAGGGAGCAGGAGATGGAAAAAAAAAAAAAAAAACTGTGGGAAACAGCTCCTTGTCACTGTCACACCAGGGAAGCCGTCCTTTGAAGTCCCCCCACCAACAGCTTTGCTTAGGTTAAGTTGCTTTTCTACCTAAGACAACAAATCATTCCTTAGAGACCTGCTGTTGGAAGAGATGGAAACCAACCAGCACACAGCTGTGTATTTGCCAAGTTTTCCGTTTGCTGTTATTTTGTTCTAAACTCTGCTTTTTACCTGGATCCACATCAGAAGAGCAAGGAAAAGAATGGAATTCCACAGAGCTGAAAGCCTCACTGTCGGGCTTCTGGCAGGATCTCTGCAGCACATAATCTCTGACGTCACAGGCAGATGGTAGGTCCAGTACACAGCTCTCTTGGGACTGGCTACCTGGGGTGGCTTCCTGGGCCTCCATAGTCCTGCCATAGGCAAAAAGAAAAGAAAACAAAACAGAACACTTCAATACAGAAGACGCTACATGTCATGAGCCTTCACATGAACCACAGCTTGAAGAATCTTCGAGATCAAACAGCAGTAAGAACCAATGGTCTTCCTTGTCTGCTTTCACTCAGAATTTGTTTACCATGTTTTCTCATTCTTTGAAAGAAGTACCCAGAGCATAAGGAAGTCACTAATAATTTCAGCTGGGAAATAAGCTGCAGTTTTTTGAAAGGGGGAAAATTCAATCATAGAGCATGCCCATCCCCAACAGACATAAAAAACTACGCAACACTGTGATTGAAGGGCTAGAAGAATGTTTGAGGATGACAAGGGGAGATGTCCATGATATAATAAATGTAAAACACTTTAAAACAATAGGTAGCATTTTACAAAATAAATATCGTGCAGGGGCAGGTGTTTGCCTAAGTGGTTAAGATGCCATTTGGGATGCCCATTAATGAAGTGCCTGGGTTTGAGTGCTGGCCCCCACTTTTGATTCCAGCTTCCTGACAATGTTCACCCTGGGAGGCAGCAGGTAATAGCTCAAGTACTTGGGTCCCTGCCACACTGATAAGAGATCAAGATTGAATTTCAAGGGCCAGCGCTGTGATGTAGCAGGTGAAGCGGCAGCTGGCAGTGCCGGCATCCCAGATGGGTGCCGGTTCAAGTCTTGGCGAATCCATTTCCAATCCAGCTCTCTGCCATGGCCCTGGGAAAGAAGAAGATGGCCCAAGCCCTTGGATGCCTGCACCCACATGGGAGACCCGGAAGAAGCTCCTGGCTCCTGGCTTCAGATCAGCACAGCTCCGGCCGTTGCGAACCAGCGGTTACAAGATGCCTCTCTCTCTGTCTCTGTCTCTCTCTGTCTTCAAATAAATAAGTCAATCTTTTTTCTTTTTTTTTTTTCTGACAGGCAGAGTGGACAGTGAGAGAGAGAGAGACAGAGAGAAAGGTCTTCCTTCTGTTGGTTCACCCCACAAATGGCCACTACAGCCAGCGCTGCAACAATCTGAAGCCAGGAGCCAGGTGCTTCCTCCTGGTCTCCCATGCAGGTGCAGGGCCCAAGGACTTGGGCCATCCTCCACTGCACTCCTGGGCCACAGCAGAGAGCTGGACTTGAAGAGGAGCAACCAGGACAGAATCCGGCGCCCTGACAGGGACTAGAACCTGGTGTGCTGGTGCCGCAGGCAGAGGATTAGCCTATTGAGCCGCAGCGCCGGCCCAAGTCAATCTTTTTTTAAAAAAAGATTGAATTTCAGGCTCCTGGCCCTGTCCTGGCTCACCCCTGACTATTGCAAGCATTTGGGGAATCAACTAGTGGATGGGAGCTCTATCTCTGCCTGTCTCTGTCTCTGTTTTTCAATTAAAAAAAAAAAAGAAATATCATGTGCAGGATGTGTATGTGTGTATGTGTGTGTGCAGTACAGAGACATAAAGGTAGGGGGACAAAAAAAGCCAGTTCAGTAGATCCCAAGTGAATTTCAGAGGTTATCTAGGTAGGGAGATTACAGGTGAATTGCATTCTCCTCTGTGGCCTACTCAAACATGCATTCAGTTGATTATTCAACTGGCCAGGCCTGGTGCCAGGCCCTGGGATACAAAGGTGAATGTCATAGCCTCTCCCCTCCAGGAGCTCACAGTTTGGGGTTTTCCAGACACAGAGACACATCATATCAACAGAGTGAGTCAGGACAGAGAAGATCCCCAAAAGGAACAGAGGACTTTCTGGAGGAGGTTCTCTCCAGGTGTTGGAGAGGCTAGGCCACAGCATGAACAAGAGAAAAGCTGGTTTGGACAACCCCTAGTGGCATGGGGAGTTGAGACTTTAATGTGAGAGTCAAGGAGAGGTCATGTACTGAGCAAGTGAGGAGGGACAAACCTTGTGATGTCTGCTGGACGGCCTGCAGTCCTCCTCCTCCTGCACGAGCCCTGGGAAGGCCGGCAAGGCCTAACTGCTGTCAGCAACTTAGATATAAAATTCTCTCTCTGAGCTCCAAAGACCACAAGGGTCACTGGCTGAATTTGGCATTGGGACATTTGTCTAAAATTAGATGTCCCCTACCCTTCCTGGGCCTGTGTCCATTTGTGTGGCATTAGATTCTCTACTAGAGGGTTCTTTGCAGTACATATAGCCCTGGCCACTGTCTATGAAATAAATACACACCTGAAGAGACCCTCTGCTACTCTTGTCTCATAAGATGCTGTCATCGGGGCTGGTGCTGTGGCATAGCAGGTAAGGCCACCACCGCTTGCAGTGCACAGCTTCAGCCATTGCGGCCAATTGGAGAGTGAACTAGTGGATGGAAGACCCCTCTCTCTCTCTCTCTCTCTCTCTCTCTCTGCCTCTCCTCTCTCTGTGTAACTCTGACTTTCAAATAAATGAATCTTTAAAAAAAAAAAAGATGCTGTCATCAATAAATCTGATAGCCACCACCGATAAATACCATGGACCGCTATGCCCCATGCAGAGGAGTGGCATGGTCAGATCTGCAGGTCTGACAGCTGGATAACAAGTGGATCTGCAGGGCTTAAGCCTGCTTAATTTTGAGCAGGTAAGCTCATAATCAGCAAGAATGCATTCACCTGCAGTGGTCCAGGTGCTAGAGGAAAAGCATGTGACTTAGGTAAGGACCTGTGGATCAACAGCGGGGAAGAGGTTAAGAATACGTTTTGGGTATAAGTAGGGGTGAATATGTGGCCCAGCGGTGAAGCTGCTGGTTAGGATGCATACATCCCACTGCTCCATACCCAGCTCGGGCTCCTGATTCCAGTTTCCTGCTAATGCAGATCCTGGGAGGCAGCAGTGGTGGCTCAAGTAGCTGGGTCCCTGCCACCCATGTAAGAGACCTGGAATGAGTTCCTGGCTCCTGGCTTCAGCCCTCCTGGTCACTGCAGACATTTAGGAGTGAACCAGCAGATGGGAGCACTCTCTAAATATATGTCAAATAAATTTTAAAAGCTTACAAAGTTTTTTTAAAAAAGAGAATATATTTAGAAACTAAAATCAGACTAGAACCTAACAACTAAATGGAGAAAGAGGATAAAGAGCAGTTGAGAGGTGAGTACTGTGGCCCGGTGGATTAGGCCACCACTTAGATGCCAGCATCCCATACCAGAGTGCCAGTTTGAGTCCTGGCTGCTTTGCTTCTGATCCAGCATCCTGCTAACGCATCCTGGGAGGCAGCAGGTAATGACTCGAGTACTTGGATTCCTGCTGCCCAATGGGAGACCTAGACGGAGTTCTGAGCTCCTGGCTTCTGCCTGGCCCAGCCTGGGCCGTTGCAGGCATTCGTGGAGTGAACCAGTAGATGAAAAACCTCTGTCTCTCTCTCTCTCACACTCTCTCTGCCTTTCAAGTAGATGAAAATGAATAAACATTTTTAAAATTTTCTTTTAAAAAATAAAACATTAAAGCAGAGCTGAGAGTCCCAGGTGCCATGAGCTTTGTCTGCAATACCCCTATGAGGCAGGAAATCCTATTATTATGCTCATTTACACTCAGACTCAGTCAGAGAGAGAAGTAACTCACCCTAGAAAACATCTAAAAAGCAGCCAAGCCTAGATGAACCCAGCCTCCTATCTCTACACAGCCTCTGTGCTGTAGCCTAAGCCACCGCCTGATTAGGCAAAGACAGGGCTCATAGGAAAACAAACCCACAGGGAAGCCTGGCAGGATCCTTCCCGTTTGAGGACACGCAGTCACATGCTGTTGTGGACATTCGCGCACGCAGAGTGAGTCAAGGCATCAGTTGATTGCTCCTGAAAGGAGTGGAGTGATCAAGGTTCCCAGAGAGGCAAGAACACCCTGTCTTTTGGCAGCTGCTGTGTTAGTCAGCCAGGCTCAAGGTTTCAGCAAACACCTCTGCGGCAGGCACCTCTGGCTGCCCCTTCCCTCCGCACGTTACCTAACCCTGAGCTCTGGAGGTTTCTGGAAGGGAACAAACAGGTCGGTGAACAATATCAGCGCACACCGCCCGCCTGAGAAGGCAGCCATCCGCTGAGGGTGTCCGTGTCACTGCTGATATAAAGCGAAAGGAAACCTTTTGGAAAAGCAGCACACTGATGGAGTACCATGTCCTCACTTTTAGAATCATGTGTAAGGAGGGTACTTCAGGAAGCTTGTGGAAAATTGAATTAAAAGATGCATTTATTTTGGGGTAGCCATTTGGCCTAGCAGTTAAGCCACTGCTTGGGCAGTTAAGACACATCATCCCACGTCAGAGTGCCTGGGTTCAAGTCCAAGCTCGGCTTCCTGCTCATGCTCACCCTGGGAGGCAGCAGTGATGCTTCAAGTACATGGGTCCCTGTCACCCACATGGGAGACCCAAATGGAGTTCCAGGCTCTAGGCATCAGCTGGCCCAGCCTGGCCACTGCAGATATTAGGAGAGTGAATCAATAGGCAGGAGTGCTCACTCTCTCTCCCTCCCTCCACACCCCTCTCTCGCTCTTTCTGATTTTCTGCCCCTCAAATAAACAAAAGTTTTTTTCTTTTTAAGTACATTTATTTTGGTGCAAAAAATTTCAAAATCCATGAATTGTTGTTTCACAATTCACATTTTCCAAGAACTTTTGGAAGACCCTGCAACACAAGGATTTCAAAATTTTGTACCAAAATAAATGTATCCTTTAAGTCCATTTTCCATGAACTTTTTGAAGAAGTACCTTGGTATTAAATGCCATATACATCACAAATCAAAATAAATAAATAAACAAATAAAATGCCTACTGAAAGCAGAATCCTTTTTATTATCAAATAAGTATCTATATGTATCAAGTTCATTGTTGGGGACTCGATGCATTTGCCCAGGAGAAGCGAGCAAAGGGGACAGATGAGATCCTTTCTGCCACCTGAAATGAGCTGGCCCAGCAAGTAGAATGCAATGATTATCCTGTACCTCTTCAGAAATGTTTGTTTTCCACTCTTCACTGTGCTTTCACTATACAGTCTAAATACCCTTCTCTAATACTGGGATTGGGCATCAGAAGTGCCTGTGGACAAAAAAGAAAAAAATCTACCTACCAGGAGAAGGCAACCATTCTCTTACTTCTCTGCAGAATCTTTTTTTATTTTTTAAGATTTATTTTTATTTAATTTGAAAGGCAGAGAGAGAGAGAGGTGTTTTCCATCTGCCGGTTCACTCCCCAAATGGACACAAGGGCTAGGGCTAGGCTAGGCCAAAGCCAGGACCCAGAGCTTCTCCCAGGTCTCCCATTGTGAGTGCAGGGGCCCAAACACTTGGGCCATCTTCAGCTGCTTTCTCAGGCACAGCAGAAGGGAGCAAGATAGAAGTGTAGCAGCCAGGACTCAAACCGGTGCCCATATGGGATGCTGGCCTCGCAGGCAGAGGCTTTACGCACAATGCCACAATGCCAGGCCCCCTGCAGAATCTTACAGACAAAATTCCAGCAGGGGCCATACAGAAGAAGTAATTTAACTTTTTTTTAGCTAATTTTTTTTTAAATTAAGGCACTTTCCATCCCAGTATTGTACATAATTTCCAGATGTAAACAAAGAATTATACAATGAACAACCACATAGCTGCCACCTCTCCTTCCCAATTAACATTTTACTATGATTTCCTTTATCATACAATCATCCATCTACCCAACTCTCATCCATTAATCTATCTTTTTAAAAATACACCTGTCTAGGACCAGCACTGTGGCATAGTAGGTTAATCATCTGCCTGTGACACCAGCATCCCATATGGATGCCAGTTCCATTGTCAACTGCTCCTCTTCCAATACAGCTCTCTGCTTATGTCTTGGGAAAGCAGTAGAAGATGGCCCAAGTCCTTGGGCCCCTGCACCCACGTGCGAGATCTGGAAGAAGCTCCTGGCTCCTGGCTTTGGATCAGCCCAGCTCTAGCCATATGGCCATTTGGGAAGTGAATCAGCAGATGGAAGACCTCTCTCTGCCTCTCCTCTCTCTGTGTAACTCTGACTTGCAAATAAATAAATAAATCTTTAAAAAAGAAAAAGAAAAAAGAAAAAAAGAAACCCAGGCTTGAACCCCAGCTGTCACTTTTTTGGCTGTGTCACCTTGCACTAGTCACTTAACATTGGCGTCTTCATTTTTAAAAATGGTTATCTTCTATCTATCTATATGAGTATGATAAAATAAATGGGACAAACATAATTAGTAAATCTGGAACATGTTATTTTGGAGTTTCTTATACTTATGTTGCAAGTTTTTTGAAGGTATAAAGTTATATCAAAATAAAAAGTTGTAAAGTATGAAAACTTTGTGACACCTGCTATCCGCACAGCTGGTCTACCTCCTCCACAAACTTCTCAGAAGAGCCTAAAATTGGCTCATTTCCTCAACTTCACCAGCTCCCCAACTCTACTCCATAACTTGCAGAAACTCCTTCTTCCAATGCCCTGTTTCAGAAGTCCTTCTCCTGACTGCCCTCTCACCTCTCGGCCTGTTCCTATCCTGCATCTCCGGGTAGACTTCCTTGAAGCTTGGCTTGAGGGGTGTGCTCGCCTTCCTCTTCCTCTTCCTCCTCTGAGACACTAACGGCCACCCAGAAACTTTGCCCCAGCCCAGCTGGCCCGAGCTCAGTGGTCTTGCATCTCCTGTATAACTCAGCTACACAATGGAAGAAGAGCAAATACCTCCCAATACACTTTTTATCTCCAGTACTACCCTGACATCAAAGCCAGCTAAATATCACAAGAAAACCAGAGACCAATAGGATAAACATAAAAAGGCATCAGCATAGCACTAAAAAATTAAATCTAGCAACATAAAAAAATACACCATGACTAAGTAGGACTAATTCCAGGAATTCAGTTATTTTAATATCCAAAAATCAATGTAAAACACTATCTTAGTAAAATAAAGAAAAAAACAACACACACACACACAAGCATTTGACAAATTCAAGCACCCCTTCATAATGAAAGCACTTAAAAAACAAGAACTAAAAGGAAACCTCCCCAACCTGATAAGGGGCATTTGTGAAAACCCCATAGCCGGCATCATACTTCATAGTAAAAGATCGAAAGCTTTCCCCTTGTGATCAGAAACAAGATAAGGAATGCTGATCATGCCATTTCAGCTTTGTACTCAAGGCTTTAGCCAAGACAATTAGTTTCGAAAATGAAATAAAAGGCACTCAGGTCGGAAAGCCAGCAGTTAAACTACCATTATTAGCAAAAAGAAACAAAAATGATGTCACATATAGAAATCCCAAGGACTCTACTAAAAAAGAACTAGCAGAACTAATACATTAAACAACACTGCAGGATGTAGGATTTTTACTTAAAGAAAAAAAATTATATTTCCGTACAGTAGAAAAACAATATGAAAATAACATTTAAAACATAATTCCAGGTTGGCGCCGCGGCTCACTAGGCTAATCCTCCGCCTGCAGCACCAGCACCCCGGGTTCTAGTCCCAGTCAGGGCGCTGGATTCTGTCCAGGTTGCTCCTCTTCCAGTCCAGCTCTCTGCTGTGGCCCAGGAAGGCAGTGGAGGATGGCTCAAGTGCTTGGGCCCTGCACCTGCATGGGAGACTGGGAGGAAGCACCTGGCTCCTGGATTCGGATTGGCACAGTGCGCCAGTCACAGCACGCCGGCCGTGGTGGCCATTTGGGGGGTGAACCAACGGAAAAAGGAAGACCTTTCTCTCTGTCTCTTTCTCTCTCACTAACTCTGCCTGTAAAAAAAAAAAAATAATTCCAGGGACTAGCATTGTGGCATGGCAGACTAAGCCACTTGCAATACCAGCATTCCATATCACAGTACTGGTTCAAGTCTCAGATGTTCCACTTCCCATCCAGCTTCCTGCTAATGTGCCTGGGAAGGCAGAGGAAGATGACCCAAAGATGACCCGAGTACTTGGGCCCCTGACACTCCTGTGGGCAATCCAGATGGAGATCCTGGCTCCTGCCTTCCAACTGACCCAGACCTGGCTGTTACAGCCAACTGGGGACTGAACCAGTAGATGGAAGATCTCTCTCTCTCTCTCTCTCTCTCTCTCTGTATCTCTCTGTTACTCTGCCTTTCAAATAAACAAATATTCTTAAAATACAATGCTTAAGAATATATTAAATAAAAGGTACACTGAAAACTAAAAAAGATGCTCAAAATTAAAGACCTAAATGAATGGAAAACCATTGTATGTTCACAGATCTGACAACTTAATGTTTTAAGTCAGCAATATTCCTAAAATGATCACTGCAATTTTTATCAATATCTCAGGGTTTTTTTTTTTTCCCAGAGATTGACAAAACTGTTCCAAAAGTTCAATGGCAGAGCAGGTGTTTGGCACAGTGACCAAGTCGCCACTCGTGGCACCCACATCCCATGATGAAGTGCTTGGTTCAAGTCCCAGCTCCTCTGCTTCCAATACTACTTTCTGCTAATGCACTGAGAGGCAGTAGATGGTGGTTCAAGTATGGGGGTCCCTGCCATTCATGTGGGAGACCCAGATTTATGCTCCAGGTTCCTGGCTTTGGTCTGGTCCTGCCCTGGCTGCCGCAGACTTTTGGGGAGTGAATCAGATGGCAGATGTCTCTGTCTCTCCCCTTCTCTCTGTTGTTCTGCTTTTCAAATAAATAAATCTTTATTTTAAAAAATTCAGTGGAAATGTAAGGGGCCCAAAGTAGCCAAAACAATCTTTAAAACGAACAAACTTAAGAGTCTTATTTTCTGATTTCAAAACCTACTATAAAACTACAGTTACTGTGTGGTACTGGCATGAGGATAGGCTTATAGATCGATGGAACAGAACTAAGTCTAAAGTAAACTCTTACAGTTATGGTCAACTCATTTTCCACAGGGAGCCAAGACGATTTAAAGGAGGGAGGCCAGGCTTTCAACACTGGACAAATGTGTATCTGAGTACAAACACATGAAATGATGCAGGCACTTTGGAAAATAGTTTGGCAGTTCTTCAAAAGGCTAAACACAGAGTTACACTTTGATCTGACAATTCTACTCCTAGGTGTTTGCCGAAGAGAAATTAAAACATATGGCCACAAGATAACTGCACACTCTTAGCTACTTTCTTCATAATAGACAATAAGAGAAAGTAGTCCAAATATCCATTGACTGATTAATAGATAAACAAGATATAGTACATTCATTAATTGAAACAGTTTTCAGTAATAAAGGAATGAAGTTCTGATACTTGCCATTATGACAATTAAAAACATTACCCTCAGAGAAAGGAGCCAGCCACACAATGCATGATTCTGTTTGCCCAAATCGGCAAATCTATACCGACAGAAAATAGATCAGTTGCTGTTTAGCACTGAGGGGTCGTGATGAGCGGACAGTGACCGCTAATGGGTGGGGATTTATTTGGGGTGATGGAAAATATTCTAAAATTGGAAAGGCTGCACAACTCTGTACAAAAACTCACTGGATTTTACATTCTGAATGAGGAAACCTTACAGCATGTGAAGAGAAATTCCTCAAAAAAGCTGTTTAAAAAAAAAAAAGAAGAGGAACGGAATCTAATCCAGACCCAGCGCCTGTGAATTCCGGAGATTCCCCAAAGGGGAGGCTGCAGCGGCCAAGTGCAGGGGCGGAGGGGGCTGAGGAGCCGGCGGGAAATGATCGTGAGCCAGGGGAAGCCGCCATGTCTTCGCTATTCTGAGAGAATGGGACACATCGCAGCGACCTCCTCCCGGCCCCCTTCCCTGGGCACTCCCCAGTCCACTGAAATCTGGCACAGAAAATGCATCAGGCTACAATTAACACTCACCGCGCTGCCAACAGCAAGAGACCGGAACCGGAAGTGGAGACGCCATCATTGTTTTGGGAAAAGAAAGATTTGAAAAAAAATGTCCCCGGAACCATCCTTGCTGTGGGCAGGCAAGAATAATAGCAAGCAGGCGCGGCCATCTTAACTGAGGGCACTTGCGAGGCCAGTGAAATTTGCGGCCCGTGGTTATTTAGGCAATTTCTAGAGGAGGCTTATTGATAAGTGTGCTTGGTAAGCACCAAAGGAACAGGAAAAATATTTGTAAATATTTTTGAAATTTAAATATTACGTTATAAATACGTTATTATACATAAATATTACATTATAAATAAATTAACAGAGGTTGGAAATATTTTAATATATTTATGCTTCCAGGAAGCTGTTCACAACTGCCAGAACTGAAGTACCACAGAGAAAGGACTGTGGAAAGACAAAACTATAACAACTTTATCTGTGGGGCCCGTGCTGTGGTGTAGTAGGTAAAGCTGCCGCCTTCAGTGCTGGCATTCCATGTGGACACCAGTTCGAGTCCCAGCTGCTCCACTTCCATTCCAGCTCTCTGCTATGGCCTGGGAAAGCAGTAGAAGATAGCCCAAGTCCTTAGACCCCTGCACCCATGTGGGAGACCCGGAAGAAGCTCCTGGTTCCTGGCTCCTGGCTCCTGGCTCCAGATTGGCGCAGTTCTGGCCATCTGGTGAATGAACCAGCAGATGAAAGACCTCTCTCTGTCTCTGCCTCTCTTGTAATTCTGCCTTTCAAACAAGTAAATAAATCTTTAAAAAAGAAAAAAAAAAGAAAAAAAAAAACCTTCATCTTGATAAGTAGTGCCCCAAAGCACTAAGCAGAGGAGGTTGGCTTAAAAGACTGAAGAAAATAGGAAAAAAAAAAAAACAGCAAAATTACTTTCCTTGTGTGTTTAAGACTGTGGGGACTTCCTTATTACACTGACTCAGGTTGACTGGAATTTTCAGTGTCTTGGAGACTGACTCCTTTCCCAAGGGAAGTTTGATTGCTTAGCACTTATCATGAATGGCCCCGTGCTGGTTTGCTCTGATCCCTGGGGTTTAGTGCTGTCAGTGCTTCCAAAACAATGATTTTCCATAAACTTCATTCCACAAGACTGAGGGTTTCTCTTTTTTCCCCATTTCACTACCTTCCTGAAAGAGTCATATATACTGATAGCCTCCTATAGATCCCACATTTGGATTACACCCCAAAATTAGGAGTCTTGCACTTTAGATAACTTTTTTTTTGACAGGTAGAGTTATAGACAGTGAGAGAGAGAGACAGAGAGAAGCGTCTTCCTTCTGTTGGTTCACCCCCCAAATGGCCGCCACGGCTATAGCTATGCCAATCTGAAGCCAGGAGCCAGGTGCTTCCTCCTGGTCTCCCATGCTGGTGCAGGAGCCCAAGCACCTGAGCCATCCTCCACTGCCCTCCTGGGCCACAGCAGAGAGCTGGACTGGAAGAGGAGCAACAAGGACTAGAACCCAGCGCCCATATGGGATGCCGGCCCCACTGGCGGAGGATTAACCAAGTGAGCCACGGCACTGGCCCCTTATTAAAAGATTTATTTATTTATTTATTTGAAAGGCAAAGCAACAAAGAGATTTTTTTTTAAAGATTTATTTATCTGCTTGAGAGGCAGAGTTACAGACAGAGAGAAGGAGAGGCAGAGAGAGGTCTTCCATCTGCTGCTTCACTCCCCAAATGGCTGCAATGTCTGGAGCTGAGCTGATCCAAAGCCAGGAACCAGGAGCTTCTTCCGGGGCTCCTATGCAGGTGCAGGGGCCCAAGCACTTGGGCCACCCTCTACTGTTTTCCAACCACATTAGTAGGGAGTTGAATCACAAGTGGAGCAGCTGGGATTCAAACTGTGCCTATAAGGGATGCTGGCTCTGCAGGTGGCAGCTTTACCCACTACTTCACAGCATCAGCCCAGAGTTATCTTTTTTTTTATGTGGAATTTTAAGTACACCACTCCTGTGCTCTTAGACAAAAGCCCAAGCTTCTTAACAAGATTTAGAAGCCCCCACCCTTGTCTCCTTACACTATCCCAGAGCCTTCCCTTCCACTATACACTGTTGCCTTTTCCTTAAATGCCCCAGGCTTGTCCTCTCTCCTCGCTGTGCTATTTCCCCATATCACCTCCCCCCCACCACCACCACCACCTTAAGATTCTTCTCTCCTGTTCTTTGGTCTTTTCATCCTTCAGATCTCAGTGTGAGAGAATTCTTCCCTTGGGATCCTCCAGCTTGTTAGATAGGAATTATTCCTCCCTCTCAGGAATGCTGACTGTCCTCTAATTAGAGTGACCTCTACCTTGGTCACTCTAATTCCTTTGCCCTTTCCATCTTACCCACTGAACTGTACATCTTGAGGGCAGGGAGCCGGTCTATCTTTTCCCATGTTTGTATTCCAGAGCCCAGCCCAATGACTCAGAAAATGCTATCATATGCATGAATGAGTAAGTCTCTCCCCGGCTCTCCCCCATCCCCAGTTCCCCATCCACACCCACTTCAACCCTTACACTCTCTGAGAAGTTTCAAAAGCATCACCTGGTCATACCAGTGAAGCAAACCTTGGAGTCTTTTGCCCTTGTCACTTTTGCTTGAAGAAAAGTTTGTGGTGAAGTAAGGTGGGGGTAGTGCTTTATGGCAGGTTAAACTGCCACTGTGACACTGGTTTCAGTTCCAGTTGTTCCACTTTCCATACAGCTCCCTGCTAATGCACCTGGGAAGGCAGTAGAAGATGCCTAAATACTTGGGTCCCTGCCACCCACATGGGAGACCCAGATGGATTTCCTGGTTCCTGGCTTCAGCTTGTCCCAGCCCTGACTGTTGTAGCCATTTGGGAAGGGAACCTGTGGATGCAAGATCTCTCTCTATCCTCTCTTTGCACTCTGCCTCTCAAATAAGTAAATAAATCTTAAAAAGGAAAAAAGAAAAGTTGGAGCATAAGTTAACCCTCATTAATTCTCCAGTGCTTTTTCCATAATGTGGCTTATCTTCCCATAGGCAAATTTCTCAAGTCAGGAGTGACTTGATTCACCAACAGCATGTCTCTCTCTAACTGCTTTAGGTAAGAAGACAGAGATTAAAGAAAGAGCAGGAGGAAATATGTCCACTGAGGCTGCCTCTAAACTCTCCAAATCCGCATCGCAGCAAAGCTGATGCCCAAAACCGAGCCAGACAAAAACATCCAGCATGCTGATGATTGCATCCCTGCAACAACCTATTATAATAAAATTACCATGGCTGACACTCCCACTCTCATCACACACCTGACACCATGATACTTTTTTTTTTTTTTTTTTGGACCGACAGATTTAGACAGTGAGAGACAGAGAGAAAGGTCTTCCTTCCGTTGGTTCACTCCCCCAAATGGCTGCTGCAGCCGGTGTGCTGCGCCTATCTGAAGCCAGGAGCCAGGTACTTCCTCCTGGTCTCCCATGCGGGTGCAGGGCCCAAGGACCTGGGCCATCCTCCACTGCCTTCCCAGGCCACAGCAGAGAGCTGGACTGGAAGAGGAGCAACCGGGACAGAATCCGGCGTCCCGAACAGGACTAGAACCTGGGGTGCCAGCACCGCTAGGTGGAGGATTAGCCTAGTGAGCCGTGGCGCCGGCTGACACCATGATACTTGTAAGACTTGCTAAAAAGGCAGAAATTAGGTAGTCATCAAATTCCTGCCCTTTGCTGGAAAATTCCACCCAAAGCAACCCCTGTGCTTCCAGATGTCATAAAGGGATGACCCTGAGTCTCCTGGACAGTGGCTCATTCTGGAACATGGCCGCACTCCCTCCCGAGTGTGTACTTTCTCTTTGCTAATCAATCTTATTCATCTGCTAACCTTTATGTCTTGTCCTTGACGTCCTCAGAGTCTTTCACAGGTCAGAGACAATAACCTGGACCCCGTAGTCCCGCAACATAACCATCCTCTTTTACAAGAAATGAAGTAGTCGTTTACAAAAAAAAAAAAAAAAAAAAAAAAAAACCTTACTTTCACAGATAGAAAAACAAAGAATCATTGCATTCCAGAAATATAAATTATTTTGCTTTTGCCATTGTTTTGTCATTGATTATGTAATCAATGTGTAAATTGGGTTATGTCAGTTTTACAAAACACTGTATACCTCATGTTGATTTTCTGCCATCAGCTAAGCCATGTGCTTCAGCCAAATCTTTCAACAGAGAGAAGGCATTTTAGTTCAAAGACCAAAATAACTCTCTCAAAAAAGACGATGTCATTTGCAATCATCTTATCTCTGTCATTCTGAACCTTGATCTAGCTAATCTCTCAAACAAGGACTTGGCTTTAAGAAAGGGGAAAAAAAGTCACTGAAGTTCAAAGGTTAAGTAATTATAATTAATGAGTATCAAGGCATCTGATTGATTTTCAAGCATGCAATACTCTAAAGCCGTTATTAAGCAGTAAATAAGTTGATAGCCAAGGGGAAAATATCAGACTGGGTGCTCCCCAGCTAGGCCAGAAGACCCACAGGAATGGAAGTGTGGGTTTTATTTGAAAACTAATATAGAGCATTTGGAGTGTTTCTGTCAGTAGCTTCTTATATATTTATAAAAAATGTAAGCTTGGACTTTTAGAACTAAAATCAATGCTAGTGCAAGGCCATGCAGAAGAGAGACTTGAAATATACTGCCTAATGGGGCAGACACTGTGGCACAGGAGGGTAAGCTGTTACTTAGAACACACACACACCCCATAGCCCCATAGTAAGTGCTGATTCTATTCCCAGTACCTCTGTTTCTGATCCAGCTTCCTGCTAATGCATCCTGGGAGGCTGCAGATGATGGTACAAGTAGTTGTGTCCTTGCCACCAGTATGGGAGACCCAATAGAATTCCTGGTTCCTGGGTCCTAGTTTCAGCCTGGCCCAGCCCTAAGTGTTGTGGGCATCTGGGGAGTGAACCAGTGAATGGAAATCTCCTACTCTCTCTCTCTTTCTGTCACTCTGTCCTACTATAAAAATATAAAAATATAAAAATACATGTAAAACAAATACTCTTTGATGGACATT